GGGAAAATGTGGCACATATACACCATGGAATATTATGCAGCCATCAAAAACGATGAGTTTTGGTCCTTTGTGGGGACATGGATGAAACTGGAAACCATCATTCTCAGCAAACTGACAGAAGAGCAGAAGATCAAACACCGCATGTTCTCACTCATAGGCGGGTGTTGAACAATGAGAACACATGGACACAGGGAGGGGAGCACTACACACTGGGGTCAGTTGGGGGGAAATAGGGGAGGGACGGTGGGGGGTGGGAAGCTGGGGAGGGATAGCAGGAGGAGAAATGCCAGATGTAGGTGATGGGGAGGAAGGCAGCAAATCACACTGCCACGTGTGTTCCTATGCAACAATTTTGTATGTTCTTCACATGTACCCCAAAACCTAAAATGCAATAAAATAAATAAATGGGGAAAAAAAAAAGAAACTGAACCCCTTCCTTAGACCATATACAAAAATCAACCAAAGATGGATCAAAGACTTAAAGGTAAAACCCAAAACTATAAAACTCCTGGAAGACAATGTAGGCAACCATTCTGGACATAGGAACAGGCAAAGATTTCATGATGATGATGCCATCATTAAATCATCAACAGACTAGACAACCTATAGAATGGGAGAAAATGTTTGCAAACTATGCATCTGACCAAGGGCTAATATTCAGCATCTATAAGGAACATAAACAAATCTATTAAAAAAAAAAACATTAAAAAGTGGGCAAAAAACATAAACAGACATTTTTCAAAAGAAGACATACATGTGGCCAAAAAGCTTATTAAAAAAAGCTCCACATCATTGATCATTAGAGAAATGTAAATCAAAACCACAATGAGATACCATTTCACACCAGACAGAATGGCTATTATTAAAAAGGCAAAAAGCAAAACCAAAAAAAAACACAAACAAAAAGGTTGGTGAGATTGTGGAGAAAAGGGAACACTTATACACTGTTGGTGGGAGTGTAAATTAGTTCAACTATTGTGGAAAACAGTGTGGCAGTTCCTCAAAGAGCTAAAAACAGAACTGCCAGTCAATCCAGTCATCCCATTACAAGGTATATACCAAAAACAATATAAATCATTCTACCGTAAAGACACATGCACACGTATGTCCACTGCAGCACCAATCACAGTAGCAAAGACATGGAATCAACCTAAATGCCTATCAGTGGCAGTCTGGATAAAGGAAATATGTTACATATACACCATGGAATACTATGCAACCATAAAAAAGAACAAATCATGTTTTTTGCAGGAACATGGATAAAGATGGAGGCCATTATGTTTAGCAAACTAATGCAGGAACAGAAAACAAAATCCACATGTTCCCACTTAGTAGTGGCAGCTAAATGGTGACAACACATGGACACACAGAGAGGAACAATAGACACTGGGGTCTATCAGAAGGTGGAGGGTGAAGGGTTGGAGAAAAGAAAGGATAAGAAAAAATAACTATATTTTTTAATTCCTAGATAGTGAAATAATCTGCATAACAAATCCCCATGACTCAAGCTTACCTACATAATAAACATGCACTTTTATCCCTGAACTTAAAAGGTTGTTTTTTTTGTTTTGTTTTGTTTTATTTATTTATTTTTTTTAAGTGTCTGCCACATGGTAGGAGACTAAAAAAGAGTATGTCAGAATAAACGATAGCTGGTTCTCGGGATAACTGAAAATACTACATTTGTTCTATTATGCTATATATTATTTAAACCAGGAAAATTAGTATTAATAACAAGTCCTATGAAAATTGATATATAACAAGACAGAGATGAAAGGATGGAAGAGAAGAAATAAGAGAAAAAGAAATTTATCCTTTTTTCACAGCTTTCCACAGAATCTTCAAATAACCATAATTTTCCATGTATACTCCTGTTTCACCATGCAGTTCTACTTTTTCCATGGGCCCAGAATCAGTATAAATCCCTAGGCAGCATGCTCAGACAGCAAAAGCAATGTACTTTCTCAAGGACCACTATGTGTGCTGTGAGCAATGATTCACTCAAGCAAATGTCAGAAAAGAAAGACACAGAAAAGTTAAATGCAAGATGATTGCAAAAGGGGATTCATAATTAAACTGGAAACCCAATTTAATATTTAATATATAATTTAACATATATTTCTTACTTTCATAGATTGCAAATTTCTCATAAGAACCTAAATTCTTCTATTTCTCAAGTATCACCTAAACACAGAATAAAGGCATAAAAATACTATATTAAGAGAAATAAATTGGACTTTCCCAATATGATAACCCATTTTGAAACAATTCTAGCAGCTCTATTACAGCAAAGGCTGTCATTTCCACAGACTAACAAAAATAAAGAAGTATGATATATACAGTAAGATTTAATTTGCACTGTATTCTTATAACTGATTCTCTCAAAAAATGCTACTATGTGAGAAACAGAATATTGCCCGATTATGAAAAATTGTTTATCAGACTTTTTGACTTTCAAGCAATTAATTGAAAATGATTTAGAGAATTTAAAAGGTTTCTTTAAATTCAGGAATATATACTTCAACATCAAAGGTTAAAAGACCTTTCTAAAACCTACATAAAAAAACAAAATTATAATTAGATTTAAATTACTATGACTTTCTTTCTGTCAAATGAGCCCCTTTTACTGTAATTTGTTCTATAATATCACATAAATACCATATATACGTAATAAATATTATTTATTAACAATAAAGAAAGCATTCACCAAAAGAAAAGTGAATTACATGAAGAAAGACGACTTTGGATCCAGAAGACAAAGGACCTAACACAGCAGAAAAGGGATGGGAATTCCAAGACTTACAACAGTGAATTAGTCACAGGTATATAGAAAGCTTGGCAACAACAAAACACAATTATTAAATACATCAAATGTTACAAAGGAAAGAATAGCTAATCATAAGATACAAGACAACTGTGACATGACCAGTGTTAATAAATGGAATGGTATAAATTCTGAAATAATAAATGAATAAACAATTTAATCAAACAAATTTAGGATATAATAACATTGGGAGTATGAGCAAATAAGAATATGTAATAAATGCTGGAGAAAGTGAAAGATAGCCAATTATCATTTTCCACAGTAAGAAGTCAAGAAATAATGCTCCAAAATGAATATTCAAGAAAAACCAAGAAAATCTATGTTATTTAAAAATATGGAAGTAAACACCAAAATAATTACTGAAAATTTGTGAAACTAGTTATAACTAGAAAAGGAAACATTTAAAAAAGGAGCTATGTTGCCCCCCACCAAAAAAATGTAACTGAGATTCTCAAACTTGAGACAGCAGAAAAGAGAGATAGATGAGCCTTACACTTTCTTGTGAAGACAACAGTACCCCCCAACCTTTTTGGCACCAGGAACTGGTTTTGTGGAAGACAATTTTTCCTTGGACTTCGTGGGTGGAGAGATGGTTTCAGGATGCAACTATTCCACCTCAGATCATCAGGCATTAATTCAATACTCAAAAAGAGCATACACAACCTAGAACACTTGCATGTGCAGGAACAATCAGGTTTGCCCTCCTATGAGAATCTAATGCCACCACTGACATGACAGAAGGCAGAGTTCAGGTGGTAATGCTTGCTCGTCTGTGGCTTATCTCCTTTTGTGTGGCCAGTTCCTAACAGGCCATGGACTGGTACTGGTCCCTGGCCCAGAGGTTGGGGACCTTAGCTCTAGACACTAGGAAAAAACAAAAAACAGAAAAAAGTTATCTCTTTGAGAAAGTCTCCAATTCATTGCTAGGCGACAGCCACAAATTATGGTCTGTCATTTATGTGTCCTATAACAAAAAATCAGCAAGGAGTGCAGAAAGCAAACCACTTTACTATTGGCTGAGAAGTTGGTCATCAATTTATTTGCCTTTATAAATTCTTTCCTCAGGTGATCTATCTTTTTGTTTTGAGAGAACTTTCCTGATATTTTCTTTATCTTCACTTGTTTACAATTTTTTTTTTTCTTAGTGTAGATTTATTTTAATTATCCAGTTTGGGGTATATTGGCCTCCTAGATTTAAGGTTTTTTATCTTTCAACATTTCTGTAAAATACTCAGCCATTACTTATTTTTTTTTTAAACCATATGCAGTTGAAGAGAGAATTAAGGAAATAGAAGATATATAACAAGATAATTTAGAATGCAACCCCAGATTGAAAAATAATGAAACTTTTAAAATGAAGTTAGAGATAGAGATGTCTGAGTGAGAAGACCTAGCAACGAGTAGACAGATTTCAAAGAAAAATGAAAATCATAGAAATGACAAATTGTTAAAGTAAAAAACTCAATGAACATGCTATAAAGAACATTAAATGCAGCTGAAGAGAGAATTAAGGAAATGGAATATACATAACAAGATAATTTAGAATGCAACCCCAGATAGAAAAATAATGGAACTTTTAAAATGGAGTTTGAGATAGAGAGGTCTGAGTGAGAAGACCTAGCATACATCTTACTGGACTCCGAAGATATACTAGAAAATGGCAAAAGGCAAAATAGTTTTAAAAAAAAGGTAATGGCTGAGTATTTTACAGAAATGTTGAAAGATAATAAACCTTAAATCTAGGCGGCCCTATATACTCCAAACTGGATAATTAAAATATATCTACACTAAGAGAAAAAAAAGTTGTAAACAAGTGAAGATAAAGAGAAGATCAGGAAAGTTCTCTCAAAACAAAAAGATAGATCACTTGAGGAAAGAATTTATAAAGGCAAATAAATTGATGACCAACTTCTCAGCCAACAGTAAATGATATTCATTATATAATTTTAATTCAATACTTACATATTTGTTACATACTTTTATATGTACCTAATGTTATATTGAAAAAAAATAGTAAAGAAAGAAGATACTGAGTTGGTTTATTAAATAACTCAGGATTATGTTCTTTTAGATTATGCATCTAAGTACAGGCCATGTTATATACTATGAATTTTTTAATTATCATAAAAACATGGTAAACAAAATGACATATAAATTTATATATATGCAAACTGGACAAGATACAAGTATGTTAAGAAATTACGGCTATTCTCCATATTGTACAAATTATTATAAAAACCTTTTCAGATGTGTCTACAACTCTGTTCAATGAATTTTCAAAAACATTCTCAATATATGATTGGCACACCATTTGAGATTTCAGAGAAATGAAAAAAAATAGTAAATATTTTCAAATGGAAAATTAAACTTGAAGATCTTATTTTACTATAATTAAGAAGTTAAAAAAACTTCACCAAACTATGTAAGCTATATAATTACACTATACCAAAAATGACCTAATGACTTACAGCCAACCTTAAAATTTATGAATATTATAGATGATAAAAGAGGGTAATCCACTAATTTAATACCAATTTGGTTGAAATTACAATTTAGAGATAATGTTCATTCACATTTAGAGAGCTATTTTCATCATATACTCAATTTACAAGATACCAACCTTTAAAAACAGCACACAAGTTCTACCATATATGTCTGGGCAATTAGTTTGATACTTAATTGACACAGACAAGACCCACCATAGATCACTAAAATTTGGCAACATTTTATTCTGTTTAATTTTAGCCTGGGAGATAACTAATGAGAAAAGTGCAGTTTACTGCTCTCCTCACTGCCCAAATGGCTCATTTATCCACATTCCCCTCAGGCTTCACCTATTAGTTAAATCAGGGTGCCACTGTCATTTGCAGTTACATCCTACACTGAAGAATGAGAGTTGAAATAAGAGAGACCAAAGTTACACAGTATTAGAATTAAACATACATGCTTCTTGACAGCTATGGAAGCTTGCAGTCAATGAGACTGTCCTATAAAATATCAAGCTATATTAGGAAAAAGTATCCTGTTTTTTCCTAACCTAATGAATGAGAAAAAAATATTAATTTACATCTAATTTAAGTTGTTAAAACTCATTTTTCTATTCAGCATCTATACTAAAGAAATGTGTAGATTTGGATAGCTCCTAAGAAATTACTTGCTACTCTAATTTTTAAGAATTATTTTGATAATTTTGGCTAAACAGTTAAGGAACCAACAAAAATAAAAGAAAGGAAGAATCACTACTTCAAAAACAAGGGTAAGGAATACAGGCAAGAGAGGAGTCAGAGATTAAGTAATGACAGAGCAGAGATGAACTACTGGCAACTTTATCTAGGGGAATTATCAAATTTAGTATAAATAAATCATAAGATTTGTACCTGTGTGTGTATGTTCCTCTTCTCATAAGATGTACAAAACTGCAAGAGAATTCTATCCCATTGTAGCAACAAGAATGAAACATGTAATCTATCAAAGCTTTTTGACAGTCATCAGAGCAGAGTTCCTAAAGGAATCCAATGAACAAAACCTGTAAAAGTGAAAGGTCTCTTATAGGAAAGAGAAAAAAATGAATAGTGGCTTTCATTCTTGGCAGAGTAGTATGAGAAGAAAGTTGATAAGAAGAAAAAAACTGTACTTTTAACAAATATTAAAAGACCCAGTGGGGGATGCATGATAGTTTAGAATCACTGAGAACTCTAGACACAAGAGGATCCCATCCACTTGCCATCTATTTTCCACAGGTGTCCATCAATTGCTCATGAAAATGACAAGAGAAGCAGGGCTGGAAAGATGAGAAAGGCTCCCACTGAAGTACAGGCCCATAGATACAAATAAAGTCTGAGTGCAAAGTAGAATAAAAAGAAATCTCATGAGTACTCTAAACCTTAAACTGAGTACCAGGAAGGGCAAGCTGTGTCTGGGAGAAAGAAAGCAGCTCTAAGAGAGACCCCTGCAAAGGCACAAGTGAACAAGGCATGTAGAATTCTGAAGGTGTATCAGGAGAATTAAGCAGAAACTACAAACCATACAAAACCAACGATCCTAATCTTGCTCTCAAAATACACTGGGTCCTATAGTGAACTTAATATAAATTTTAAAAGAATCAGATCTAGTTCAAGTATGGAATAAAAGGCAAACGCCATACCCAATGCAAGTATACTAATGCCACGACAAAAGAAGAGGCATGTGTTTTTGTGAACATAAACATTATTTAACATAGGCTCCATTCTCTTTACACACATTTGGCATTACATAAAAAAATACTAAGCAACATAAAAAAGCAAGAAGAAATGACTCATTATAAAAAGAGGAAACAATCAATACACCAGTCCAGAGTTGGCCCAGATATTGGAATTATCAAACAAGACTTTAAAACAATTCTGATAACGAACACATTAAAGAATTAAGGCCAGGCACAGTGGCTCATGCCTGTAATCCCAGTACTTTGGGAGGCCAAGGTGGGTGGATCACGATGTCAGAAGTTCGAGACCAGCCAGACCAACATGGTGAAACCCCGTCTCTACTAAAAATACAAAAATTAGCCGGGAGTGGTGGCACATGCCTATAATCCCAGCTACTAAGGAGGCTGAAGCAGGAGAAGAGCCTGAACCTGGGAGGCGGAGGTTGCAGTGAGCCGAGATCATGCCACTGCACTGCAGCCTGGGTGACAGAGTGATTCCATTTCAAAAAAAAGAGAAAGAATTAAAAAGGGTACATAATACGCTTGACTTGAAGGAAAATTTTATCAGAGAAAAAGTATAAAAAAGTCAAATGAAAATACTAAATTTTTAAAAATAACATCAGAGGTGAAAAACTATTTCCCAAACTGACATATATCAACCAATAGATTTAAAAAGCTCAAGAAACCCCAAGAGGAATAAATAAAAAGAAACCAGATGTAGACATCTCAAGATCAAATGGCAGAAAACCAAACGGAGAAAAAAATTTTAAATCATCCAGAGGAAAAAAAAAGACACAATACATCCAAGGAAATCATAAGGCTAATAATCTCTCATCAGAAATAATGGTGGCCAGAAAATAGCAGAATGTTTAAAATGTTAAAAATAAGTCAATCTAGATTTTTATTTCCATTGAAAATGTCCTTCAAAAATGAAGACAAAATAAAAATGACAGAATTTGTGTTCAGAAAATTTGTGCTGAATGTGTTCAATGAATTTCCAAAAACATTCTAAAGAAACAAATAAAATAAATGCTTTAGATTGAAAGGAAATAATACCAGATAGAAACTTAATTCTAGAGAAAGAATGAAGAACACAGAGTAAATATGTTGGTAAACAAAGAAAAGTATCTTTTGTTAGTTTTTGAAGCAGGGTATCACTCTGTTGCCTAGGCTGGAGTGGAACAGCATGATCACAGCTCACTATAGCCTCGACCTCCCATATTCAATTGATCCTCCCACTTCAACCTCAGGTGTGCCACCATAATCAGCTATTTTTATTTTTTATTTTTTGCAGAGACAATATCTCACTATGTTGCCCAGGCTGGTCTTGAACTCCTGGGCTAAAGCAATCCTTCCACCTCAGGTTCCCAAAGTGCTGACATTATAAGTGTGAGCCACAGTGCTTGTCTAAGTTAACATTTTATCTCTTTCTATCTGACTGTCTTACTTCTCATTTGTCACAGAATCCACCAGGGAGATGTAATGGTAACCTCAAACCATAAGAGTCAGTAATTAATACTCTGAGATGTTCCAAAGTTGTCCTCTGACTTTATAATCACAATATAAATTACTAAAACAATAAAGGTAACTACAGACAGCTTTGACAATGAAAAGCTTAGAACTTCTTATTAAGTTCTGGGACACATGTGCAGAACATGCAGGTTTGTTACATAGGTATACATGTGCCAGGGTGGTTTGCTACACCTATAAACCCAACATGTAGGTTTTAAGCCCCACATGCATTAGGCATTTGTTCTAATGCTGTCCCTCCCCTTGTCCCCCACCTCCCAACAGGTGCCAGCGTGTGATGTTTCCCTCTGTGTCCATGTGTTATCATTGTTCAAGTCCCACTTATAAGTGAGAACACGTGGAGTTTGCTTTTTCTGTTCCTTTGTTAGTTTGTTAAGAATGATGGCTTCCAGTTTCATCCATGTCCCTGCAAAGGACATGAACTCATCCTTTTTTATGGCTGCATAATATTCCATGATGTATATATGCCACATTTTCTTTATCCAGTCTATCACTGATGGGCATTTGGGTTGGTTCTAAGTCTTTGCTATTGTAAATAGTACTGCAATAAACACACATGTGCATGTGTCTTTATAGAATAATTTATAATGGGATTGCTGGGTCAAATGGTATTTCTGGTTCTAGATCCTTGAGGAATGGCTACACTGTCTACTGCAATGGCTGACCTAATTTACACTCCCACCAACAGTGTAAGTGTTCCTGTTTCTCCACATCCTCCCCAGCATCTGTTGTTTCCTCACTTTTTAATGATCGCCATTCTAACTGGCATGAGATGGTATCTCATTGTAGTTTTGACTTGCATTTCTCTGATGACCAGTGATGATGTTTGTTGGCCACATAAATGTCTTCTTTTGAGACGTGTGTGTTCATATCCTTCACTCACTTTTTAACGGTTTTTTTTTCTCGTAAATTTAAGTTCTTTGTAGATTATGGATATTACACCTTTGTCAGATGAGTAGATTGCAAAAATTTTCTCCCATTCTGGAAGGCTGCTTGTTCACTCTGATGATAGTTCCTTTTGCTGTGCAGAGCTCTTTAGTTTGATTAGATTCCATTTGTCAATTTTGGCTTTTGTTGCAATTGCTTTTGGTGTTTTAGTCATGAAGTCTTCGCCCATGCCTATGTCCTGAATGTTACTGCCCAAGTTTTCCTTTATGGTATTTATGGTTTTGGGTTTAACATTTAAGTGTTTAATCCATCTTGAGTAAATTTTTGTATAAGGTGTAAGGAAGGCTTCCAGTTTCTCTTTTCTGCATATGGCTAGGAATACAACTTACAAAGGATGTGAAGGACCTCTTCAAGAACTACAAACCATTGCTCAAGGAAATAAGAGAGAACACAAACAACTGGAAAAAAAAATTTATGCTCATGGACAGGAAGAATTAATATCATGAAAATGGCCATGCTGCCCAAAGTAATTTATAGATTCAATGCTATTCCTATTAAGCTACCATCGAATTTCTTTGCAGAATTAGAAAAGGACTCCACCAAAAAACTATTAGAACTGATAAATTCAGTAAAGCTGCAGGGATACACAATAAACATACAAAAATCAGTAAGATTTCTATATGCCAACACCAAATAATCAGAAAGAGAAATCAAGAAAGTAATCCCATTTACAATAGCTACAAATAACTAGGAATAAATTTAACCAAGGAAATGAAAGCTCTCTACAGTGAAAACTATAAACACTGATACAAGAAATTGAAGCAGGCACAATAAAATAGATATTTCATGTTCATGGATTAGAAGAATCAATATTGTTAAAACATCCATACTACCCAAAGCAATCTAGATTCATTGAAATCCCTATCAAATTACCAATGACATTCTTCACAGAAAAAGAAAATAATAATCCTAAAAGTAATAGAGTCAAAAAAAGACCCAAAATAGCCAAAGCCATCTTGAACAATAAGAAAAAAATTGGAATATTACCTGATTTCAAGTTTTACCACAGAGTTATAGTAAACAAAATAACCTGGCACTGGCATGAAAACAGACATACACCAATGGAACAGAACAGAGAACCCTGAAAAAAAAACCATACATCTACAGTGAACTCATTTTCGACAAAGGTACCAAGAACATGTATTGAGGAAAGGACAATGTCTTCAATAAATGGTGCTGGGAAAACTAGATATCCATAGGCACAAGAATAAAACTAGACCCCTATCCCTCTATCTCTTGCCATATGCAAAAATCAAATCAGAGTGGATTAAAGGGTTAAATCTAAGTCCTCAAACTATTAAACTACTAAAAGTAATCACTGAGGAAACACTCCAAAACATTTGTCTGAGCAGAGATTTCTTAATACCCCACAAGCACAAGCAATCAATGCAAAAATGGACAAATGGAATCGTATCAAGTTAAAACACTTCTGTACAGCAAAGGAAGCAATTGACAAAGTAGAGACAACATGCAGAATGAAAGAATATTTGCAAATTACTCATCTGACAAGGGATTAATAACCAGAGTAGACATTTCTCAAAAGAAGACATACAAATGGTAAACATAGAGCTACGGTACTATTCAGGAATCCTACTGCTAGGTTTAAGCCCAAAAGAAAGGAAATCAGTATATGGAAGAGGAATCTACACTCCCATGTTTGTTGCAGCACTGTTCACAATAGCCAAGATTTGGAAGAAACCTAAATGTCCATCAATAGATGAACAGATTTTTTTAATGTGATGCATATATACAACAAGGGGGCATTTAAAACCTAAATGCCCTGAATGGGTTTTAGAAGAGACCCTTTACTTTAAATGCTCCTCTTTACTCATACTACATTTCTAATGGAACCCTCCTAATTCAAATAAGAACATTTTTCCTTACTTCATCTTTATATTGAATCTGCCCTCAATTATTCAATCATTAACTAAATTAACATTGATTAGGTATCTACTATTAAAGAAACTCATAGCACAAAGAAAAATTAAAATATAATAGCTGCTTATCAAGATTTATTTAGTAAAAACAACAAAGTAAACAAATGTCTTACTCATAGACAAAGTTTAATGGAATCAGAGAGGCACAGAAGGCTTTGGAGTCAAAGATGTGTGTCCATATCTGGCACTGATTGTTATGTGTTGTTGATCACATCACATCCCTGCAGATTTCTTAAATGTAAAATGAAACTCATATCACGTAACTGGTGGGGTTATTATGAAGACTGAATGAGACATTTGTAAGATACCTATTATATAGTAGGAACTTAAAAAGTAACAGCTACTACCATGATTATCATAATCATTATTATCTTAGAGAAAAAATTACATGAAGACCTAAAAATAGTTCTGCCTTCAGCTTTCCTATAACTACAGGTGTCATGTTCCAACACTAAAAGTTTGTTGAATTATCTGGCTAAGGTAACCAATCCTACAAAACAATCTTCCAAGAGAAAGACAAAAAAGAGAAAAGACTCCGTGTGTCCTATTGAGGAGGAGAGACAGTGCTCTGGTAGGCACATTCAAAAAATGAAAATCTAGTAGGGTTAAAATAACAGAGTGGGGTATGGGTATACAATAACCAAGAGGGCTTTATAGCAGGTCTTTAAGGACACTGGCTTTTATATGCCTAAAGGAAGCCATATAAAATAACACAGCTTTTCTCCATTTATGTATGTCTTTATGATAGTTGACACAGAGAGAACTACTATTCTGACCCAACTGCTGATAACTGAGTAAAATAATTTTGCATACTAGTCACTCAGTAAAGAGGGGAGAAACCCTGATTTATCTAATAATCTAAGGAGCAAAGACTGATAACCCTGGATCATATTTTTTTCTAAATGTTGTCTTCAGAT